GGTAAAAAAAAAAAAAATTTTTAAAAAAAAAAAAAAAAAAAAGACAGTCGTCATCATTAACCATACAAAAGAGAACGTTCTCAGTGTGACTGGGCCCCTCCGTGAGCAGAAATACCCACTTCCAGAAAAACTCATATTCACAGCCTGGCATGTCGCTTTGCACGGTGGACTTTAGATTTTCATTTCCTTTTTGAGAAAACAAATATGTGAGGAATATTACTTTTGGGGGGCAGCGTATAGGAGAGCTCATAATTCTGGAATTTTATATGGAGAAAGGTGAGCCGCAACTTCACGTTCGGCTGGAACGCGTCCCTCGAGGTCCCCTGGGAGGACGTCCTGGTTGTGGCTCCTCCCTCCTCCCCTGCAGCCATCCGTTTAATAAAAGCAGCCATGTGTCTTCAGAGAACACGAAGGGCACACGGTCAAGTCGCATGGGATTATTCTCAGAGCAGAGCGGCCAACTCCAGTTGACCATGAGATGCAAAGGGTCGCCATCTGTTTTTTTTCTTTCCTCTCCTCTCCTCTCCTCTCCTCTCCTCTCCTCTCCTCTCCCCTCTCCCCCCCTCTCCCCTTTCTTTTCTTTCTTGTCCTTGGGTGCATGTGCTCACCAGAGAGAGACGGGGAGAGAGAGAAAGCGAAAATGTACCTGCCAAGGGCGCGTGCACTTGCCAGAGCAAGTACTCCCCACACAGTGGGGTATGCTCATCCCGCAATTCCAGTCTCCTCCACTCCATCTGGATGTGGAACGCTCGTACACCTGTGCCTAGTGTGATTTTGCTCGTTTGTTTGTTTGTTTGTTTTAGAGAGATTTTTCGCTACAGGGCATGCGTGCTCGCCAGAGACACAGAGAGAGCGAGAAGTCCCCTCCAGGGGGAATAGCCATGCCTAAATCCCTTCTCCTCTTAGGATTTTGGGCACACACGCACGTGCACCCAACAGGAGTTTCAAGCTGCCTGGTCCAGGATTCAAACCGCGGTCGGCCATGTAGCAGTACAGAGCCACAAGATTGTATTACCTGCTGGTCCGCGTGGCTTTTCAAGCCTCCGGGGCCAGGATTCAAACCGTAGTCCAGCAGAGAGGGATCTAGATCGCAATTCATGGCAGTAAGCCACTGCACTGTGGGGCCGGCCAGCCCTCCTTCCAGAGGGGTGTGTATGTGGTGGCATAGAAATATCTCACTGTGTCACAGTCTTCCTGCCTCAGTCTCCCAAGTAGCTGGGACCACTGGCATGTACCATCACACTCAGCTTTATTTATTTATTTTTTTGAGAGGTTTTTGCTATAGGGCGCATGTGCTCACCAGAAAGAAAGACAGACAGAGAGACAGAAAGCGAGAATCAGCCCCCAGGGGGGGATGGCCATGCCGCAATCCCTTCTCCTCCATTCTCCTCTTGGGATCTTGGACACGCACGCACATGTGCCTGGTGTGAGTTTAAGCCACCGGGTCCAGGACTTGAACCACAGTCGAACACACGGCAGCTACATGGGAGTTCAGCAACATAGCCATTACACTAACAGCTGGTCCCATTTTTTTTTTTTAATATTTTAAAGTTTATTTTTCTTCAGGGCTGGCAGGTAGCATGGTGGTTAAGAGCGCCGGAGTCCCACATGGCTGACTGTAGTTCAAGTCCCAGACCTGACAGCTTTCTCTCTCTCGCCCACCCACCCCCAATCAAATTAAAATAAATAAATAAATAAAGTTTTTTTTTTTTTTCTTCCGTGAAAGAAAGACAAGGCATCCCAACAGGGTCTTCACACCATTCCCTTCCCCAGCCAGCCAGGGTCATAGACACATGCATGAGCCTGGTGCATGGAAGGAGACTTCAGGGTATGACCCCTTTCAAACTGCTAACCTCGACAGCCTGTCATTCTGTGGCCCACAACTCACCATCCCTAAGATTTTTAGTTAATGCTGTGGAGGCCCCTCACCCTCTGGAAAGCAGGGAGGGCCTGTTGCTGGTATATTTAACTGGGACTGGTGGATCTGTTAGCATGAGTTGTATCAGTCAGCTACTGCTACAGTAACAAATAGCCCCAATAGCTCAGTGCCTTACAGTAGTACCATCCCTTAATTGACAGGGCTCTGACTGTAGGAGCATCCCTTGTATTTGGGCTTGTTCTTCTTCTGGTAGAGGGCAGGAAACAAAGAGAATCGGAGCCAAATCACATGCACACATTCAAAGCCTCTACTGGGACACGACCAGCCTTGTGTTCACTCACATCCTGTTGAACAAAGCATGATTTTGGAGGGAGTGCTGGAACAAGAACTCCGTCTGCCATAGGGTGCCGTGTGCAGAAAACATTCTGCACCAAGGAGTCCATGGAGCCCGACAACCACTCGGATCACACCCGCGGCTCTGATTCTCCACAATTCCTGCCAAGGTTGATTGCCAAGCTCTCTGAAGCCAACTCCCTTCTTCCACAGACTCCTGACTCCGTAATCTGTTTGGAAGGCCCTCTGGGAAACTGGCCTCTCCCCCGTTCTCCTCTCATTGTCTTCCCTCTCGGCAGGTGGGTGGCAGGCCCGTGGAGCCCCTGCTCAGCGACCTGTGAGAAGGGCAGCCAGCATCGGGAGGTGACCTGCGTGTACCAGCTGCAGAATGGCACCTACGTGGCCACGCGACCCCTCTACTGCCCAGGCCCTCGGCCAGCGCCAGTGCAGAGCTGCGAAGGCCAGGACTGCCTGTCCATCTGGGAGGCATCTGAGTGGTCACAGGTGGGTGCCAAGGCTTGCCATGGGGGCCGAAGCCACTCTAACACAGTATACCCAGCTTTCATTCCTTGGTATTGGGGATGCGGTCCTGTGTATCACAGATGTACCCCCAAGACCTCACAGTTCAGTCATATTCCAGTTCCCTCACATAATAATCTCTCTCTTTCTCTCTCTTTATTTTTAAGAGATTTTTGCTATAGGGTACGTGTGCTCACTAGAGAGACAGAGAGAAAGCCAGAAATCACCCCCCAGGGGGGATGGCCACTCCACAATTCCTTCTCCTCTCAGGATGTTGGGCACGCACGCACACGTGCCCAGTGTGATTTTTTTTTTTTGAGAGGTTTTTGCTATAGGGCGCGCGCGCTCACCAGACAGACAGAGACAGACAGACAGAAAGCAAAAAATCACCCCCTGGGGGGATGGCCACGCTGCAATCCTTTCTCCTCCATTCTCCTCTCGGGATCTTGGGCACGCACGCACACGCGCCCAGCATGAGTTTAAGCCACCGGGTCCGGGACTCGAACCGTTATCGAGTACATGGGAGTCCAGTGACATAGCCATTATGCTAATTGCTGGTCCACCCAATGTGATTTTCAAGCCACTGGGTCCAGGACTCGAACCGCATACAGCCATGTGGGAGTTTGGCACCTTCGCCGCCACGCCCCCTGCTGCCCTCTGCATCTTCTTTGCATCCCCACCTGGGTCTGACACACAGTAGAAATGTCATGGTTCTGAGGGACGTGCCTGGGACGGAGCAGGATCATGTGTCCCTTGGTGTCTTACAGTGCTCTGCTGACTGTGGCCAAGGGACACGGAAGCGAACCGTGACATGCACCAACTCCCAGGGGAAATGCGACGCGTCCACGCGGCCGAAAGCCGAGGAGGTGTGCGAGGACTACTCAGGCTGCTACGAGTGGAAGACCGGGGACTGGTCTAAGGTAAGGACACACCACACCGGCACTTCCATTCCGCCACACGCTAACACAGGCGGCTTGAGGCCTCGCTGCATTTTCGTTTAAGGGTTTATTTATTGTTAATTTTATTTATTAGTACTTTTGACCAGATAGAGACAGTCAGAGAGAAAGGGAGAGTGAAAAAATAAGCCACCAGACCCAAGACTTGAACCATGGTCAGCCATGTGGGAGTCCAGCGCCTCAACCACCACACCACCTGCCGGCCCCTATGGCCTCGCTACATTTTTAAAGTAGTCCCCATGGCTTTCTTTCCTGTCCGCAGCCTCTCAATCTCCGCACATGCCAGGCTCTTCAGGAAATAGCTAGAAGGCCAGGCACCAGCCAGCGTCCCTGAGTCTGGGGACGCGTTTAAAATCCTAGTTGCTGGGAGGGAAATGCCGCAGCTGCAGGTGCAGAGGGTGTGACCGTGCGGGGCTGAGCCGGGGCTCAGTCCAGCCTCTATGAGGCCCAAGGGAGCTCCAAAGGGTGTCCCCAATGCTGGGCAGCCAAGTAGCCCTCCTCACTAGGTCCCAGAAGGCAAGCATCTTTCCAGTGAGGTGACCACAGGCCAGTCCAGGATCTTGCCATAAGAGCTGTCCTTGAGCTGGTACCCCTGATCTGGGTGAAGGTGCCCAGGAATGGCTGAGCTCCTCATGCAAAACCTTGGGGAGGTAGGGTGGGCTCGGAGGGCACATTGAGCCCCTTCCCCTGTGTCCTGACCTGGGCCAATGGCCGGAACCTCACCGACGTCTCATAAGAGGGTCACACTGCATCGTCATCCATCCGTGCTAAGGGCTAGCATCATTTATGTTGGAAAAATAACCTGCCTTCTCTCCCAGGATAGCTCTTTCCAGAAAACAGTGCCGTCGTTTTTATTAGCCGCTAAATGCAGGGTCTGTGTATGCCACTTTGGAGTAGGGGACACTTCTCAAATGACAGAGGAAGAAGTTGATCCTGTAGACTCATGGTTTTTTGGGGGGGGGTTTTGAGAGGTTTTTGCTATAGGGCATGTGCACTCGCCAAAAAGAGGCAGAGAGAGAGACAGAAAGAGAGAAAAAAAGAGAGAAAGAAAATCTGGTCTTGCAGGAAATTGTCACCTCCCTGAGAAGACGATCTCTTTCTTCACCATTCCCGTAAAAAGCATGAGTAAATCCAAATCAAATCTCTCTCCTTTGTGCCTATGAAACTTTTGCTCTTTATGCCAAAAGAATTTTATTTCTGGGGCCAGCAGGTGGCATACTAGTTACATCACTGACCTCCCACGTCGTCAACTGCAGTTCAAGTCCCGGACCCGGTGGCTTAAAATTCACGCTAGGTGTGTGTACGTGCATGCATGCCCAAAATCCCAAGAGGAGAAGGGATTGCGGTATGACCATCCCCCTGGGGGTGATTTCTCTCTCTCTCTCTCTCTCTCTCTCTGTATGTGTCTCTCTGGTAAGTGCACACATCTTACAGCAAAAATCTCTCCAAAAAAGAATTTTATTTCATTATCATTTCTCCAATGACACTGCCACCCAGGTGTCTCTGGCTCCCTGGCCCTGCCCAGGAAGCTTGGGCAGGAAGTGCCTCTCCCTGATAGCGGCCACCAGGTGGTGGTATGAAGGGCTTGCTGGGGATGGGACAGTAAGGGGTAGACTCACTCTAGGCTGCCTGGCAGGGAGCTTTCCCAGTAAATTATTGCCGCTGCTGTGTCTGCCTCAGTTCCCCGCGTCTGGGGAGCCCCATGAAATGCCTCCATACTGAGCCACTTGAAAGACAACCCATTAGTGAAACAGCTGGAAGCAAGACCAGATAGACCTTTTATAGACCTGTTTGCTTGGGTTGTAAAAGCCTGGAAGGAGACACTGCAGTCTCATGGCTGCTTAATTAAAGCCGAGGCCACCGGGGAGGCTGGCCAAGGTGGAATGCACGGTGCACGCCTGTGTGTTACCGTTTTACACGCCCGATCGGGTTACAGGAGGGCGCTCTGCAGCCCCCTTGGCCCTGTCTGGGGTCACATCTGTCTTCAGGGCCAAAGCAGCCTCTCATGGTGCTCCCGAGGTCTGGCAGCCGGATCCACGCCCTGAGCCAGGTCGAGGTAGTTTCCACACCCGCCTGTGACAGGGCATGACTGCCTACACAGAGCCAGAGAAGAAAACACTCCACCCAGGGCAGCCACTAATTCCTACAGGAGGATGGAATCTGGTCTGTCCAGGGTCCTGTCCCTCTTCTGCAACTCACTCACTATGACACTGGGCCAAAACGTGTCATGATTTTTTTTCAGTGGCCCAATAATTACATATTCATGTGTAAGTTATATGTTGTAACAATTTTAATTCATACATATTGCTATTTTCACTCTGCTATTATAAAGTCGAGCCTATGATGTTGTTGCTTTGGTGGGGTCAAGTGGCTGATTGAGCGGTTTTGAGAGGTTTTTGCTATATGGCGCGTGTGGTCACCGGAGAGACAGAAAGAGAAAGCGAGAAATCAGCCCCAGGAGGGATGGCCACACCACAATCCTCCTTCATTCTCCTCTCGGCATGTGGGAACGCACACACATGTGCCCAGCGTTGAGTTTAACCCTCCAGGTCCAGGACTCGAACCGTAGTTGACTACGTGGGAGTCCAGCGACGTAACCGTTACGCCATCTGCTGGTCCCGCTAAGTGATTTTGAACAGTGCAATCTGCTGTTTATGCCTCGTCGCCAGCAGCCCCGTGTTCTGAGTCCCTGGCGCAGCTTTCCCGAGCACGCATGTGCACTGCCGTCTGCCCGCGTTAACTCGCTGCCTTTATGAGTCTGTGTGTGCCTCGGTTGCTGGACATTCACAAGCTGTCATATGCTTTTGCTCTGTGTTGATTTTTCGTGCATTAGCCAGCTCTGTGCCATGTTGGCGTGGCCCTATGTTGCACTCACATGGCCTCATGTGGCCTCATGCTATGTTGCCATGGCCCTGTGTTGCATTGGCCTGACCTCACACTGTGTTGTTGTGGCCCTGTGTTGCGTCAGTGTGGCCTCCCACTGCATTGGCGTGGCTCTGTTGCATTAGTGTGGCCTTGCACTGCATCGACGTGGCCCTGAATTGCATCGGCCTGACCTTGCACTGTGTAGGCGGGGCCCTGCGTCGTACCTGCGTGGCCCTGCATCGCAGTGACCTGGCTTCTCACTGTTGGCATGCCTCTGCGTTGCATTGGCACGGCCTCGCGCTGTGTGAGCGTGGCCCTGAATTGCATTGGCGCGACCTTGCTCTGCGTGGGCGTGGCTTTGCACACCTTGCTGTGGGGCTTCCCTGGGTCAGTGTGACTTCGTACGCTGTTAGCATGGTTGTGCTCTGTGTTGACTGCCTAGGTGTGGCTCTGCTCTGTGTCGGCCTGACTGCTCTTGCATTACGACCCTGGACCTTCTCCTTCACGGGTGGGTGAGGTGGGGGTGTCCTGGAGGAAGCCAGCTACCCTCTCATCCCCCAGGGGGCTGCTACTCAGTAGCCTCTGCTGTATGAAGGCTTTGCAGAGAGTCTCAGGACCTGGGAGACTGTGGACTCACAGTCTCTGGGATAACCATTGCCAGTCTGCATTTGTTAATCATCTTCAAGCATTTCTTACCCCGCTGTCCCTCATTCATGATTCATTATGAAGTCCTGTTTACAGGAAAAGACAGTTAAATGTCTTGCCCCTTGCCCCCAAACTCCTGGGCGATTGCCAAAAAATCCATCATGAGGCTTGATTGAGGTCATTCAGGTTCATGGTATTTTCCAGAATGGAATATTGACCACAACATCATTGGGGCACCTCCCCATCCTGCCCCAAACTGTGAGAGATTATATTCTTTTTTCATTCTATTTTTCAGAGATTATTTTTTGCTATAGGGTGTGTGTACTCGCCAGAGAGACAAAGAGACAGAAAGCAATCACCCCCCAGGGCGGATGGCCATGCCACAACCCCTTCTCTTCCATTCTCCTCTCAGGATTTTGGGCATGCACACACACATGCCCAGCAAGTGTTTTAATTTGCTGGGTCCAGGACTTGAGCTGCAGTCAACTACGTGGGAGTCCAGCAATATAGCCATTACACCATCTGCTGGTCCCAGTAGGTTTTCTTCTTAAATATAAGGTAGCTGACTCTTTCTAAAAAGAATTTAAGATTTCTGCCATAGGGCATGTGTGCTTGCCAGAGAAAGAGGAAGTGAGAAATCTCACACACACACACACACACACACACACACACCCAGGGCGGGGGTGACTGTCACACTTTGGTCCCTTCTCCTGTTGGGAGTTTAGGCAAACACATGCACCTGGTGTGATATTCAAGCTGCCAGGTTCAGGACTCAAACTGCACAGCTGGCTATGTGGGATCCCGCACCTTAATCTCCATACCACCTGCTGGCCCCTCTAACTGAAAGCCTTCACTTTCTTATACTTGAGCATAACCGCCCCCTGGAGGTACAGTCCGAAGCCCTTGCTCATTCCATGGATTTGCATAGCAATACACAGCTTCCTCACCGGAAGGAGAGAGAGCTTTTTGCATTTTCCACCTGCCCAGGGAGGAAGTTCTGGTTACATCAGAGGCCCATGGCTCTGGCTGTCCATTTGAACCATGTGAAGAGCTCTAAAACCCCGATGCCTAGTCCCTCTCTCTCCCCTGAAACAGTCTATTGCTCTTTACATCAGGATTGTTAAAAGCTTGTCAGGAAACCAACAGGTGACGTAATGGTTACATTGCTGGACTCCCACATGGCCGACGTGGTTCAAGTCCCAGATGTGGTGGCTTGAAACTCATGCTGGGCACATGTGTGTGTGCATGTCTAGAATATCAAGAGGAGAACAGAGAAGGGATTGCAGTGTGGCCATCCACGCTGGGGATGATTTCTCACTTTCTGTCTCTCTGGTGAGCACCTGTACCACATAGCAAAAATCACTCTTAAAAAAAAAAAATTGGGACCAGCAGTTAGCATAATGGCTATGTCACTGAACTCCCATGTAGTCTACTGCGGTTCGTGTCCCAGACCCGGTGGCTTAAATTCACGCTGGGCGCGTGTGCGTGCGTGCCCAAGATCCCAAGAGAAGAACAGAGGAGAAGGGATTGTGGCATGGCCATCCCCCCTGGGGGGTGATTTCTCGCTTTCTGTCTGTCTGTCTCTGTCTCTGGCGAGCGCACGTGCCCTATAGCAAAAAAAAAAAAAAACCTCTATACAGCAGATCTCAACTGTAGCCTGTTTCCTCCAGGGCAACCCCTAGACAAAAGTCACGTAGTTTGGGTGCTTGTCCCATGTTCAAAGTCACCCCATTGGTGGGGACCTCTTGTGTGATCTCTGCACTGCCAAATGTCATGGACCCTCTGGTGATGGCTCCGGAGGCCTGGTATAGACCCTAGAAATCTGCATACATATTGCAGGATGAGTTCTCCAGGCCACGAGCAGTCTTTGCTGGGTTTATCTAGGACACAGATCCCCAGTCCCCAAACCAATAGCAGCCCATGGGCTGTTAGGACCCAGGCTGCACTGCAGAAGATAAGCATCTGGTGAGTGAGCAAGTAAAGCTTCATCTGCATTTACAGCCACTCCCCATTGCTCAGTTACGCTTGACCCTCTTCTGCATTTACAGCCTGCTCACTCAGTTACACCCGAGCGAGCTCCGCCTCTTGTCAGATCAGCTGTGCATTAGATTCTCATAGGAGCGTGAACCCTATTGTGAATGGGATCTAGGTAAACCATCCCTCAGCCCAGTCTGTGGAAAACTTGTTTTCCATGAAACTGGTCCCTGGTGCCAAAAATGATGGGGACCAGTGATTTAGAACATGGAGCAAGGTGGGAAACAGAGATCCTGGGGCTGGCCTGGCTTGCTGGGGACAGAGCCCCTGCTCTGGTTTATACCTGTAGACCCCACAAGGGCCTGCTAGTGGCTTTCCCATTCGTTTGGTGTCCTTTCAGAGTGACCTTCTCTCTGAAGGTTCAAAGTGAAAAATGTCAGACGAGGAAGGAGAGGATTCACTTGACTTACAGAAATCCCTTTGGAAGCAGACAATGCCCACTTGGTCACACTGGTGACACCAGAGTCTCTGCTGGGACTGGATCCAGGCAAGCCCTGGTATCCTCACTGTGCGTGGCATTTAGGAGACAGGGTTTCAAGCCTCAGCTCTCCTCTCCCCACCTGAGAGGCTGGGGGCTGCTGGTTGGCAGCCTCTGCACTATGAAGGCTTTGCAGAGTGCCTTGGGGCCCTGAAAATCGGGGAGTATGCAGGTGCTGGAGGATCCCGATGGAGAACATGTATATGTGGGCCCAGCTCTGCTTGGGAAGAGACCAGCTAAGTGGAGGGTCAATGCCAAGGGCTCCCGGGAGCTCAGAGGACAGGAGGTGGGTATGAACTCGGGTACCTAGCATGTTCCTCTTTGGATAACACCAGAACAGTGGTCCTCAACCTTTCTGGCATGAAAGACTGGTTTCATGGAAGACGATTTTTCCACAGGGTGGAGGGTAGGGGATGATTCAAGTATATTAAATTTATGGTGTACTTTTCGTGAGAGAGAAATGTTTGCTATAGGCGGCTCCTCCTCCTCCCCGCCCCCCAGGGATGCCAGGTAGAGCCAGCTTCTGAAAGCTGCAGTCTACATGAGAAGGAAGCCACTTATTTAGGGGATCCCACCCTCATGACTTAACCTTAAAGACCAGACTAAAAAAAAAAAAAAAAGTGATTTATTATTACTATTCAATTTGAGCTGAGAAAGTGAGAAAGCAAGCTGCCAGGACTGGGACTCAGACCACAGTTGGCCAGGTAGGAATCCAGTGCCTTAATCCATCCCAGCAGGGGTTGGGGATCCAACACAGGACTCTGGGGGGCTACAAACATGTAGCCCAGACATCCTGTGACAGTGCCCTGCATCATAGCACTTAGCAGGGCCACACCACTGTCCCAGCCCTGTCTGCGTTCCAGCTCAGACCATGTCTGTCCCGCAGTGCTCATCCACCTGCGGGAAGGGCCTGCAGTCCCGCGTGGTGCAGTGCATGCACAAGGTCACAGGTCGCCATGGCAGCGAGTGCCCCACCCTCTCAAAGCCGGCAGCCTACCGCCAGTGTCACCAGGAGGTCTGCAACGACAAGATCAACGTGAACACCATCACCTCCCCTCGCCTCGGTGAGTGCCCTGGGCTTTGCGAGTCCCCACTAGTGGGGGGTTCTGGAGGCTAGGAAGTCCCCTGGGTGGGCCTTATAAGGCTGACACCTGTTAGTTTTGTAAAAGATAAGAGGTTTCGGAGGTCATGAGAGGGGCGGTTGCTGACTGCAGTCTTGAACATGGTACCTGGAGGGTCCTACGGGGGAGGGTCCTCGAGCTTCTCAGGATGCCAGAGAGCAGGAAAGGGGAGGTGCTTCTCCATGGAGTCCTCCTTAGGCCAATGCCAAGAAACAAATACCACAGTGGATGGAAGCAGACGTCCGAGTGTACGGTGGTGTCTTAGGCCTGGGGTGGTCCAAGAAGGGGATTATTTAATAGTTTTAGCAGTGACTTGATTGCTTTTTTTTTTTTTTTGAGAGGATTTGTTGCTATAGGGTACATGCGCTCGCCAGACAGACAGACAGAAAGCAAGAAATCACCCCCCAGGGGAATGGCCACATCATGCAATCCCTTCTCCTCCATTCTCCTCTCAGGATCTTGGGCACGCACGCACACACACCCAGCATGAGTTTAAGCCACCGGGTCCAGGACTCGAACTGCGGTCGGCTACATGGGAGTCCAGTGACATAGCCATTATGCTAACTGCTGGTTCCTTGATGATTCCTTTTAACAGAGTTTATGCTTTTCCAAATAAAAATCCCTGGGAATGACCAGTAGATGGCGTAACAGTTACATCACTAGACTCCCACATCATTGACTGCAGTTCGAGTCCCAGACCCGGTGGCTTTAAAATTATACTGGGTGAATGTGTGTGCGTGCCCAAGATCCCGAGAGGCAAATGGAGGAGAAGGGATTGCGGCGTGGCCATCCCCTCTAGGGGATGATTTCTCACTTTCTGTCTCTGGCTTATACACTCACCCTATAGCAAAAATCTCTCTTAAGAAAACCCTGGGAGGGACCAGCAGTTAGCGTAATGGCTATGTTGCTGGACTTCCATGTAGTCGACTGTGGTTTGAGTCCTGGACCCGGTGGCTTAAACTCACGCCCAGCGTGCCCAAGATCCTGAGAGGAGAAGTGATTGTGGCGTGACCATCCCCCCCGGGGGGGGTGATTTCTCACTTTGTCTCTGCCTCTCTGGCTAGCGCACGCACCCTATATCGAAAAACCTCTCCAAAAACAACCACCTTGAGAAAGATTTTCTACTTAATTCCCCTTCCTCCCTGGGCTCCACCCAGGTGGAGGGGGTTCTAAGCAGCCCCTGGTACTTACAAACCCTGTGGTTTGGCAAGCCCTGGGCTGCTTGGGCCTTCCAGATGCCGCCCTTGAATGAGGCCTTCTTTCCATACCACGGAGACCCTGAGGAGACTTGGGCCACTTGTTCTTTTGTGTTTGCCTCTGTCTGAGCAGGATGACATGGGGAGCAGAGACAACAAGTGAGAAGTCACCCCCTAGGGGGTGACGGCCACACTGCAATCTCCTCCATTCTCCTCTTGTGATCTTGGCCATGCACCTGGTATGAGTTTCAAGCCACCGGGTTCGGGACTCGAACCACAGTGGGCCACGTGAGAGTCCAACATCTTAACCACCCGCCACCTGCTATTCCCAACATCCTGTTTTATAGGATGCCAACTGCAACGCTGTCCTTCTCTGTAAGATAACACCCACTTAGCTCAGAAGTGGCATGGGCAGTGCCCGACCCCCTAAATCAGGCAGCCAGACCACCTTCTCAGTAGGTGGTTGGGTTAGACACTGGGGTGCACCCCCTGTAGGCACATGGTCCCATCAGCCTGTGCATCCATCTTCACGTCATCCCCAACTGTCCCCTATCACCCCCTTAGCTGCCCTGACCTACAAATGCACCCGGGACCAATGGACGGTGTACTGCCGGGTCATCCGAGAAAAGAACCTCTGTCAGGACATGCGGTGGTACCAGCGCTGCTGCGAGACCTGCAGGGACTTCTACGCCAACAAGATGCGCCAGCCGCCACCAGCGCCACCGAGCTCCTGACGCGCGCCCAGCGGTCACTCAGACCCGAGGTCCGCGGCACCTGGCGTTCAGCGAGGGAAAAGCCCACCCACTCCGCAGCCGGGACCTCCCTAAAAGCACACTGCCACCCTCCCCGAGAAGCCCACCACCTAGACCTTGAACGTGGACTTGACGCTTGCCATGAATGATGTTCTCCCTTAATATATTGATGTCAGCCACCGGATGGCTTTCTACGGAAAAGGACGATTAGGCCGAATCACAAAATCGTCATTTTTTCCCCCAAGGTTCTGTGTACCTTAAAGGAGAACCCCTCTGATAGACAGATGTCAAAAGAGGAGACGGCCCTCGGTGCTTCTAACGGGCTTGACAGTTGAATTCCCAGTGCTTGAGGGATTGTCTTGCAAAGGACACGCTTGGTGGTGGAAGAGGCTTTATTCTGAAAGCCAGCGACACCCCTGGCTGGAAGGAGAAATGTCAGTGAGCTGCTCCGGACAGGGCTGGGTTACCAGTACCCCTGTTCCTCTCACTCCTCCTCTGGATGACACAAAGACCAGGCCTTTGCTTCTCTGACCCTCTCTGCTGCCGTAATCTCTACCCCCTGGGCCTTGCCTAGGAAGTCTTGGCCCTGAGAGGCTGCCCTGCAGAAGCCAAGGAGGATGCAGTACTTGCTATTGGGTTGTCGGAAAAGTTATGACTTTTCCGACAACCCAATCGTTCTCCAAGCCACCTGCATAGGGAGAATATTCCAGAAGGTTCCAGAAGGGTCTGGGTTGGTGGAGGCATTTTCTTCCCATATAGGATGTGTGCACTCACCAGAGAGGGAAAGTGAGAAATCATCCCCCTGGGGGGGATGGTCACTCTGCAATCCCTTGTCCATTCTCCTCTTGGGGTTTTGCATGCATGCATGCACCCGGCATGTGATTTTTTTTTACACCACCGGGTCTGGGATGCAAACCCTGGTTGGCCATGTGGGAGTCCAGTGCCTTAACTACCATGCCACCCACTGGCCCCAAGGCATCTGATTTTCAGGGCTCTGCTGTGCACCACGGAAGGAACCAGAAGAGCCAGCCTTTAGGGTGTTGTGAAAGCGGACATGTGTTCTTTGTGGCGATGAGATTACTTCTCAGCACAAAGGTGAGCTCAGGGAGGCTTCATGGGCCCTGTGTGGACCTCCCTCTCTGCCTTCAGGAGACGGCTACCCTAGCCGGCCATTCTTAGATGCCTAGTCATGGTGGTGGCGTTCCATCCACCTTGTATCTGAAGTTACAGGTTGGGTCATTACAGGTTGGGTCTCTGAGGACACTGAAGTTTCTGTGTGGGTGATGTTTCCTTGTCCTGGCAGACAGCAGCTGGCCCCCCAGGGGCCACTCACCCCGGTGTGGCTGGGACCACTGCACACCCACCCAGACTTCCCAACCATGCCCCTGAACACAGCTGGTATTATTGACTTACCTCCTTGTGGGGACAAGGATGATCTCAAAGGCAGAAAGGTGGTCTTGCCTTCTGCCACACCCTCACCCCTCTCCAGCAGCCCAGGGAGATGGCCAGAGGGGCCTGAGAACATAGAAGGCAGAGGTTCTTTTCCAGCCCCAGGAGCAGGGACCCTAGGTGCCAGGAGGCCTGTTTTGCCCACCGACTTGGTGGGCCTTTCATGGTGCTTACGTTTTCTGACTTTACCAGAAACAAAACCTCTCTCCCCCCCTCCCTTATTTTAGACAGAGGGTCTCACTTGGGATCACCTCCAGGCGCTTCTTGATCTTATTGGTGCTGAGCTTAGGTTTCTGGGTTTTTTTTAAAGTTTTTAAAATCACAATGTTAAGGTTAGCTTAACTCAGAAAGGAAGGAAAACAAAAATCTTACCTTTCCTACTGTCTTACGGGCTTATTTTTTGTAATATCCCAAAGGCAGATGAGTCGTCAGGATAGCGGGGACTGTGTTCATTTCACTTGAACCGGCGAGCAGCATTGAGAACTTTCTAGAACTTTCTAGAACTTTCTAGGTGTGCTGTGGAAGGGACAGCCCATGTCAGGACAGAGCAGGCCTGTGCTGCAGGCGAGCCCAGCAGCCACTTCCCCAGGGCCTATGCAAACATTGTGCTCCCCAGCTCAGGCCAGGCCTCTTGAACCCCCGTTTCTACAAACCCCTCAAATTCTTGGCAAGCTGGGCTTCCATTTTAACGCCTCAAAGGACATTAGCCTTTAGGAGTCATGGAGGCCTGGCCTGCTCATCTCCAGGGCCCCTGCGGCCCACCCAAGCTGAGCAAGGACTTGTAAGTGACCCTGGTGCTTCTGAGTCCCCCCTGCCCTCAGCCTGCCAGCGACTGACCTGGTCATTGTTAAACACCCCTTGGGTCCCCAAAGTCTGGGCTCCCTGAGCTCATCCAGCTCAGGCTAGCATTGTCACCCCCAAAACCCCACAGCCTGCCTTCAGGCTGTGACACCAGCAATAATTTCTGTTAGTGAAGCCCATCAGAACTTTAAGGGTTTTTTTTTTTCCCCCCCCATAGGGTACATGCACACACCAGTTAGAAACAGAGGGAAAGTGAGAACTCCCTTCCCCCTACCCCAGGGAACATTGCAATCCCTTCTCCATTCTCCTTTGGAGATTCTGGGCGGGCATGCACGTGCCCAGCGTGAATTTTCAAGCCGCCGGGTCCGGGACTCGAACCAGGGTCGGCCATGTGGGAGTCCAGTGACAACCACTGTCCCGCCCTCAGAACATTTCTTGTTCTACTTTGTCGAGACACACTGACCCTCTGAGCTCCCAGTGACACCTCTGCCTTGGAACAATTCCCTGTACTGTCTGTCATTCAAGTACTGTCCCATCCGCTCCTACGGTGCTATGTTTTATTGGTGCAAAATGAAACCCTCTTGGTTGACCATGGCTTGATATTCTCCGAACAGAAAAAGAGCCTCCACGGCAGTATTATCATTGCTCGTCTTGTTTTTCATTTCAGAGTCAAGTGTATATATTTTCTGCTAGGTAACTTCCATTAGGTACTGTAGCCATGGTATTTTAGTTGTGGGTGCTGGTTTGGAAGGGAAAGGAAAAAAAAAAAAAAAAAAGCCCAGAAGATATATACATTGGACACTGTTAACCATGACAAATTAGTCATTTCATTGGAAGCAAGCTGAAAATGTGTAATAAAATGTTTTTCCGTAACATGTGTAAGCTGTCTGTGAAGTCAAGGCTGAAAGCCAGCCCTCAGGGGCTGCTGGGAGGGAACTGGGGACCTCCTGCCTCAGGGGTCACCTAGCTGGCCTGGGCTCTCGCTGCTGTGAACTGACCACAGCTGTGGGCAAGGTCAGGGGTCACTGGTAAATGCAGTCCTGGCGAGTGGCTGCGTGTCCCCAAGGGGGGGGGGCTAATAAATCACTCTGTCCTAGGCCTCATCTGTGTGTGGTTGGAAGACCCTGGGTGGGGACCGGAAGGCCTGGCAGCTGTGTGTGAGCCTGTGTGTCTGACCCAGACCAGCCACGGCAGAGGCCTTGGACGGAGCGTGGGCTGTTCCAGAACGAGCACCTGCTCCGACTGTTTCCCCCCCACACCTCTGGTGACGGTGTCCTTCCTCCGGCAGGTATGAGGGTGCATCCTGGCCCTGCCCACCTCCCAGGGCTAGGGATACAACCAGGATACTACCCTCACAGCTTGACCAGCCATGAAGCAGGGGGGCTGTAGCTAGGGATGGGAGGGTCCCATCTGCTCCCGGAATCAGAGCTTCCTGTTTAGGTTGGAGCAACACCCAGGAATTTCAATAAAGGTGATTTGCTGAACAGACAGCAAGGTGCCTACAACCCCACAGTTGCTGGGAAACCCATGGTATGTGTTAGTTCTCAAGAAACATCACCTACCTGCCTCTAGGGCCTGGTAGAAATATCTCTGTCTTGCTCTGTGTTCTGGTCTCTGGCACGTTACTCTGAGCACCATCGCCAGGCACGTGACTCCTTCATGTACTGTTTCCATCCCCAGCTGGCCCTCAGCCATTCCAATCTGTTAAGTGACATTGACAAGCTTCCCATCAGTAGGTGATGAGTGGGTGTCTATCAGGGACCAACCACTTCTAGAATTATCTAGAACAGGAAAGAACTAAAGTCCTGCTTAGGAACCCACAGCCCTCTGGGCAGACAGTCCTGGAGGCCCACCAGGCAGAGAAGGACTAAGAACAGCAGGAGCCCTAAGGAAGGAAAGGTCAGGATTTGCTGTGGGTTTGTTGATTGACCTTCTAGACACACATGAGAAGAGTCAAGGTTGGAACCTCTTAGCAGCAATCTCCCTCCGCAAAGGGTCTCAGAGAAAGGCCTGACCTTTCTCCTTGCAAGCATAAGCTGACCTGCTTTTGTGTCACCTTCCCTGTATGACCGTGGAAGTGGTACTCAACCCTAAGGAAGGCTGGCCACACCTTTGCTTAAGCCCATCAGCCCTTTGCATGGTCTCCGCCCCCTAGTGGCATGAACCCTCCAGCACCTCGCCCAACTATTGGCTATCGCCCAATAGTGGCATGATGTCAGATTGCACAGATCTGGGGTCCCCAGCCTGGCCACCAGATAACTAAGTCAGAGTATAATCCGGCAGGAGAGGAACCTGGCTGCACAGCAGGAAGTGAGTCCCAGGCAAGGAAGCCAGCTTCCTCTGTATTTACAGCCACTCCCCGTTGCTCTCATGACCGCCTGAGCTCCGCCTCCAGTCAGATCAGCAGCAGCATTAGATTCCCATAGGACCATGAGTTAACCCTATTGTGAACTGTGCATGTGAGGGATCTAGGTTGCCTACTCTCATAAACCATCCCCCACTTCCCCAGTCCATGGAAAAATTGTCTTCCTTGGAATCTGCCCCTGGTGCCTAAAAGGTTGGGGACCACTGGATCCTATTCTCTAGCTCTCAGTGACCCTCTCTTTGCCCTTTTCTCATATCTTCTGCAGCATCTTACTCTTGATCTTCCTTCTTTCTCACCTTTGCTGGCTCCCTTCCCTCCCTAGCTTGGGGATGGTGTACCCCAGAGCTCAGCCCTGTACTCTCTCCTCTCTCTATTCTTTCTACCTATGGCATATCGCCCAGACCCAAGATGTGGTTTGGTTTGGTTTTTGATTTTTGCCATAAGGGTGCATGTGTTCACCAGAGAGAGGGAAAATGTGAAATCATCCCCCTAGAGGGAATGGCCACACCACAATCCCTTCTCCTCTGTCATCCTCTTGGGATTTTTGGCCTGCATACACACACACTTGGCATGATTTCAGGCCACTGGCCTCAAGACTCAAACCACGGCCATGTGGGATCCAGCACCTTTGCCACCACACCATCTGCTGGCCCCAGACCCAAGACTTACAAACTTTGTTGGTGGAATTGGTGGAAAAATGGAACTAAGGTATGAGTTGATTTTGGTGAGAGGAGGCAAAAAAAAAAAAAAAAAAGATTGAAACCCATGCATTGCACTGTAATATGCATTTCCCATGGACTTTCCAAGCCCTCATGCATCCTGGAATCTTCCAGATAGACATCTTGGGCCCTCTCTACTCCCTGGATACGCATATATCCTTTCCCCATGCATAATCAACCCCATAGGAAGCCCTGGGACTGGAATGGCCCTTCAGGGTTGATTTGGACAGCGAGTTCAGTGGGGACGCTCACTTCTGCTGGGGTGTCTCGAAGTACAAGTAGAGACTAGACTTACCCAAAGGCTCAGGCACTTGTATGGCTGCCAGTCTTACCTCAGCCAGGGCTATTGGCCAGAGCACCTCTGGATGGCCTCTCTGAGGGTCGCTTGCTCCTCTGCAGTGTGATGGTGGGTTTCAGTGGGACACCTGAGAGTAGTAAGCACAGAGACATTCATGAGAGATGTGTCACCTCCTGCAATAGCCCATGATCTGCTGTCTGCAAGCTGAGGTCTCAGGAAGGCCAGAGATACAGTTCAGTCCAAATGGGCAGGCCTGAGAGCCAGGGGAGCCAATGGAGTAAGTCCTGGTCCAGCTGCAGCCCTGAGAGCCAGGAGTTCTGACATCTGAGGGCAGGAGAAGGGGAATGTCCCAGCTTTGCAGAGAGAAAGAATTCACCCTTCCTCTGCTTCTTCGTTCTTTTCAGGCCCTTAACAGATCAAATGGTGGTGCCCACCCACACCAGTAAGGGCCGGTCTTCATCACCGAGTTCTCACTCGAGTACTAATCTCCCAAAACACCTTCACAGACGGGCTCAGAGTTTTACCAGCTAAAGGCATAGACAAGGTAACACACAAAATTGACCATCACAGGGGCCAACAGTGGCATGGTGGTAAAAGCACTGGACTCCCACGTGGCCTACAGCACTTCAAATCCTGGACCCGACAGCCTAAAAATCCCACCAGGCACATGTGTGTGCATCCCAGAAATCCCAGGACAAGAACAGAAGAGAAGGCATTGCGGTGTGGCCATTTCTCACTTTGCGTCTCTCTGTCTCTCTCCAGTGAGCGTGCACACCCATTGCAAAAACCTAAGATAAATAAGATGGGACCAGCAGTTAGCATAATGGCTATGTAGCTGAACGCCCATGTAGTTGACCGCGGTTCAAGTCCCGGACCCAGTGGCTTAAACTCACGCCAGGCACGTGTGCATGCGTGCCCAAGATCCCGAGAGAAGGATGGAGGAGAAGGGATTGCGGCGTGGCCATCCCCCCCTGGGGGTGATATCTCGCTTTCCGTCTCTCTTTTTCTGACGTGCGTACACACCCTATAGCAAAAACCTCAAAAAAATACAAAAATAAAAAGTAATAAGACTAACCATCGCAACCCACCATACACATGCAAAATGCTCTCACCCTTTGGCCACTTCATGCCCACAGTGCCATCCTATTTCAGCACCTGGTGCAGGCTCAAGATCCAGGATCTTTTATCACCTGAGCCAGGCGCAGAAACAGGTAAGGCTGCTGTGTGGATTGCCAGCTCTGGGGCCCTACACGTTCTCTCTCTAGGTCTAGAGCCTGTGAATGAAAAAAGACATCTGGGGAACCAGCAGTTAGCGTAATGGCTATGTCGCTGGACTCCCATATAGTTGACCGCGGTTCGTGTCCCGGACCTGGTGGCTTAAAACTCACACCGGGCGCGTGTGTGTGCGTGCCCAAGATCCCGAGAGGAGAATGGAGGAGAAGGGATTGCGGCGTGACCATCCCCCTTGGGGGGTGATTTCCCGCTTTCTGTCTCTGTGTCTCTCTCTGTCTGTCTGGCGAGCGCACGCGCCCTACAGTGAAAATCTCTCCAAAAAAAAAAAAAAAAAGACATCTGCCCGCCTCTCCGACACCCAAGAGGAAATGGTAGGATAGGGATTGGAGAATTGCCCTAGACACTCCCTACTTAGAGAGGAGGAAAGGGACTCACACCACAGGTGCCATTCATATGTCACTGGTTCCTTCGGGCTGAGTCCTCCATCCCATCTCTGAGAATGATTCTCCTGGGGTTGCCTCCAGGGGCTAAGGGGCTCACCACCTATAGTTATTCATTCTAAGTGGTAGAGGAAGTGAGAGCTAATAAAATGTCCTTCCTTTGCAAGAGAGTACCCTGCATGTCCCATGCCACTGATACAGAGGATCCTTAAATTGTCATAGGGCTGGGGCCAGCAGGTGGCCTGGTAGTTAAGGTACCGGACTGCCATGTGCTGAATACGGTTTCAGTCCTAGACCTGGTGGCTTGCCTTCTCACTTTCTCTCTCTCTCTCTCTCTCTCTCTCTGTCCCTCTCTCTGGTCCAATTAAAAAATAATAATAAATAATTTTTTTGGAGAGGTTTTCGCTATAGGGCGCGTGTGCTCACCAGACAGACAGACAGAGAGACAGAGAGACAGAAAGCGAGAAATCACCCCCCAGAGGGAATGGTCACACCGCAATCCCTTCTCCTCCATTCTCCTCTCGGGATCTTGGGCACGTATACACACGCGCCCGGCATGACTTTAAAGCCACCAGGTCTGGGACGCGAACCACTGTTGACTACATGGGAGTCCAGCGACATAGCCATTACGCTAACTGCTGGTCCCATAAATAATATTTTTTTAAGAGAGATTTTTGCTATAGAGTGTGTGTGCTCGCCGGAGAGACAGAGAAAGAGAAATCACCCGTGGGGGGATGGCCTTGTCGCCATCCCTTCTCCTCCATTCTCCTCTCGGGATCTTGGGCACATACGCACACACACCCAGCATGAGCTTAAGCCACCGGGTCTGGGACTTGAATCGCAGTTGGCTACATGGGAGTCCAGTGACATAGTCATTATGCCAACTGCTGGTCCTGATTCTTTTTTTATTCTTAACAATACTTTACTTCTTTCTTTATAATTTATTTTAAGGACCAGCAGATGGCGTAATGGCTATGTTGCTGGACTCCCATGTAGCCGACCGCGGTTTGAGTCCCGGACCTGGTGGCTTAAACTCATGCCGGGCATGTACGTGCATGCCCAAGATCCCAAGAGGAGAATGGAGGAGAAGTGGCCATCCCCCCCTAGGGGTCATTCCTCACTTTGTCTCTCTGTCTCTGTCTGGCGAGTGCATGCACCCTACAGCAAAAACCTCTTAAAAAAAAAAAAAAAAAAAAAAAAAAAGCATCATAGAGCTTATCTCCCACCCTCTAGAGTTGTGTCCCCAACCCCTGGGCCACAGACCAGTATCAAGCTGTGGCCTGTTAGGAATCAGACTACACAGTGGAGGTGAGTGAAGAGGAGGTAACATGGAGCTTCATCTGTATTTACAGCCGCTCCCTCCCTCCCCTCCCCAAATGCTCTCCTCCTCCTCCTCCTCGCTTTTGGTTATTCTGTCTCTCTCTTTTTTTTTTGGAGAGGTTTTCACTATAGGGCGCGTGCGCTTGCCAGACAGAGAGAGGGACATAGAGACAGAAAGCGAGAAATCACCCCCCAGGGGGGATGGCCACACTGCAATCCCTTCTCCTCCATTCTCCTCTCGGGATCTTGGGCACGCACACACACGCCCGGCGTGAGTTTTAAGCCACCGGGTCCGGGACGCGAACCGCAGTCAACTACGTGGGAGTCCAGCGACATAGCCATTATGCTAACTGCTGGTTGCCTCTCTCTCTTTCTCTTGTGTCTGTATTTATTCTTTTTCTTCTTTCCTACATCCATCTCTCCTTTACCCTCCCTTTCCAATTTCTACATTTTTTAAGGTTTTTGCCATAGGGTGTATGTGTTTACTTACAGAGATGATGAGAGAGAAAATGAGAAATCACCCCCAAGCGGGAATGGCCATGCTGCAATCCCTTCTCCATTCTCCTCCTGGGATTTTGGCCACACACGCACTCAGTATGGTTTTCAAGCCACCAGGTCTGGGACTTGAACTGCAGTCGGCCACATGGGAGCCCAGCAGCTTAACCACCCTGCCACCTGCTGGACCCAGTAATTATTCACTTCTGCCTTTGGCTCATTGTAGATGCAGGAATGTCCACTGAGGGCCCAGTCTGAGGTCGCCAGAGAATGGGGAATTGCTATAGAGACTGTGTTTGCACCAAGAATTCTCCAAAAATTCATTCTCAAACTCTTCACCCAGGATCCTTGCAAACTATTCTTTCCGAGTTTGAGAAGCCTCTGGGTATTCACGTCCAGTTTATTTCTGTGTGTGCTGATCACAGTGCCCACAGTCCTTTGGCTAACGCTAGATCTGTAGCAATCAGCTTTCTTACCAGAGCTTGGTTTTAACGTGCCAGCAGATAGTTATAAAACAGCAACACTGGGAGTCTCGTCCAAGGATCGCTATGTCTTTAACACATCATTAAAGCGGTATATTGCAAAGTCAACATGTCATAACTGTGGACCCATCGAACACTGAACGATTTTGTAACCTCCGTGGAAGCCACTTTATTGAAGTGGGATACAGGAAGGAGAAGAGCGAATATGTGTTGCAGCGGGGCTGGATTGATGTGTTGGTGGTTTTTGCCAGTATTTTCTTTAACAAAATAGTGTATCATATATCCACGTGTTACATTACAATATCGCATTTAAAAATAAATTTGGGGAGAGATTTTTGCTATAGGGCGCATGTGCTTGCCAGACAGACAGAGAGAGACAGAGAGACAGAAAGCAAGAAATCACCCCCCAGGGGGGATGGTCACGCCGCAATCCCTTCTCCTCCATTCTCCTCCTGGGATTTTGGGTACACACGCATATGTGCCCAACATGAGTTCTGTTCTGTTTTGTTTTATTTTGGAGAGGTTTTTGCTATAGGGCGCATGTGCTTGCCAGACAGACAGAGAGAGACAGAGAGACAGAAAGCAAGAAATCACCCCCCAGGGGGGATGGTCACGCCGCAATCCCTTCTCCTCCATTCTCCTCTCGAGATCTTGGGCACGCACGCACACGCGCCCGGCGTGAGTTCTAAGCCACCGGGTCCGGGACACAAACCGCTGTCGACTACATGGGAGTCCAGCGACATAGCCATTATGCTAACTGCTGGTTCCCCCCAGTGTGAGTTTTAAGCCACCAGGTTCAGGACGCGAACCACGGTCGACTACATGGGAGTCCAGTGACATAGCCATTACGTCAACTGCTGGTCCCCCAACATGAGTTTTTAAGTTGCTGGGTCCGGGACTCGAACCATGGTCTACTACGTGGGAGTCCAGTGATCTAACCATGACATCATCTGTTGGTCCTGCATTTGATTTCATATACACACACAGCCCTACCCTCACATACGTGCACACAGAATGCATATAATGCGTGCATGTGAAGTATGGCCGCAGGTTGACTTGAGAGTCTACTACAGTGTTATACACTGGTCCTTGAGCAAGCTCAGGGTCCCTGCATGCCCTGGGATGGCCACATTGCTCAATTCAGACCGAGCT